TTAAACCTTAAAACCAGCAGCACTACAGTGACCTGGGTGGCGCCCGCCTCACATCATAGGAAAGATATAAAACCGAACGGAAAGTATTTGAATACTTTCAGCTAGTCATGCTGTTGAAAACAATATATATGATGTACGTGTATTAAAATATTTGGCTATCCTCCGAATAATGGGCACTTATGGCGGCCGAAAACACACCCTAACAGGCCCCTGTGTGGGTTCCGGGTCCCCATTGTGGAGAAATCAAGAATAGACCCACTGCCACCCGAAAAGCATGTCGTAAGAGTCAACCAATTGGGGAGCTTCCTTTGAAGTCGGAGTGCATCTGCCGGAGAGGCAAGGAACCAACAGTCTGTATTCAGGAGAATGAGATCTGTAAAACTGATGCACATGCAACACTCAGGTTTTGGAGCAGGACTGCAGTTCAGTAGTGGATGAGCAACCAGAACCTTCCGCCAGAGTTTACAGCTGGTGAACGTGAAGAAGACACCCTAACAGGGCCTCAGTCACATGTCAATTGCGCACTTCCGGCGACTACCGCCGAGAGTATCTCCTACGCCGCTACGTGCGGCGTGTAGCGGGTTTAAACTAGATGACTGGGACTCACGAGCAGCAGCTACCGCATCTCCTGCAGCTTCCTTCATTTTTTTGCTCGTGAGTCCTAGCCATCAAGCTTAGCCCCAATACGCTACGCACAGCATGGTAGATAGATACTCGTGGCGGTAGTCGCCGGAAGTCGGCAATTGACATGTGACTGAGGCCCTGTTATGGTGTGTTTTTGGCTGCCATAATATGTGCCTGTTATAAATAGAGCTATGTTCTGTTAGGTCTTGTGATATGTTGTTGCTAAGGTCCAGAAACAAAAATGTTACAGTAATTTAAGGTTGCACCACATTTTCTAAAAAAATCTTATATAATTTACCTTAAAAATTAACTCTGCTTAGAATGAAATGTAGAGGCTTGAATGGGGTACGTTCAGATTTCATTTTCCAAGTGGAATTCAACTTTGTTAGTTGCCTTATTTACAAATAAATAAGAAAATATGACGAAAGTCTCATCTGGATCCTCTGCCAACTTGCGGTGGCAAGGTGAAGTACAATTTATGGGAAACTGCATGTTTATATTCTTCATACATGGAGATTCCCTCTGCTCCTTAGTTGCTTCCGGCATGGTTTGACAACAATAATTAATTCATGTACAGCTGCAACAAATTTTATTTAATCTTGCACTCTTTGATTTATGAGAATGTTTTTCTCCAACTTCTTCGGCTTGGGATTTTTCTTTTTGTCCTGCTTTTTTAATCACACTTTTTAATAGTAGTATTGTGGGGAGGGGGGCACATTGCCATACATTCTTTAAAAAAAAAAGTGAGGAAAATGTTGGAAACCACTGCATTAGAATTATTTATTCAGTAAAATATCTACATCTTTTCTGGAGTTACTGTCGATTGACTTTAATTGTTTGGTGAGTTTGTGAATTGCCAGAGGCAATGATTTTAAAATTCTGTTGGAAAAGTTCTTGCTAAGTGGGAACAATAATACTTGGATATCTAGAAATGTGTGTGCAAGGAAGTAAATAATATTTCTGGTGTCATTGGGGGCACATCGGGCATACTGTGCTAGGCACCATATGTTTAAAGACCCGTCACAAACTTTTTTTACTTCCCGGATATTTTATGGTTGGTTCAACCTGAGAAGCCCAGCTTCCAGTCAGTATGGCGGATAGGCAGACTTGTTTTTCTTTAAAAGTGATGGCACGTTTTTGCTTCTTGCATTAGTTAGCTGTTGCATTTTCTTTCACATGAGATTGAAAGGATACAAAACCTTCACTGAAGAGAAGCTCTCGGAGCTCTTTCCAACCATTGAAAGGATACAAAAACTTCACTGAAGAGAAGCTCTCGGAGCTCTTTCCAACCAGTGAGGTTAGAAAAAACACAACTCTTATCAATATCATACTCAAAGCAGCACAAAAGTCAATACCTCGAGGTCAAAGGCAAAACTATGAATCCTTCTGGACCCAAGAATTGCGACAGCTGCACCAGAGAAGCACGGAAGCAAGAGTACAAATGGAACAAGATCCCTCTGACCTCCACATAACAGAACAATATAACCATCAGGCTATTTATAGAAGAGAAAAACTCGCATGCATCCGGACAAGATGGCAGGAAAAGACTGCATCTCTCAACATGGAGAAAGATGGGGAAAAGCTATGGCATCTAGTAAAGAGTCTCAATGAGGAGAATAATAGCAGCCGTGCCCACACTGTCATTGAAGATAGTGGGAAAACTTTCATTGGTAAACAAGCAGCAAACCTGCTGGCCGATAGTTTTGCAGAGGAAAAAGCAAGGCTTTGTCTAGAGGGAGAGAAGAAGAAATGACGAGAGGACTGAGGAAAACCAATAAAAAGTCAGAAAATAATCAAGATAGTTGAGTCAAGAATTGACATCACAGCACTTAGGGCATTCCCATATGCGCTCCGTCCTCGTCCTCAGCAGCCAGCGCAGACTTCCAATACTAATGGTGCCAATTGTAGTCTGGTTGTATGTCTGTCTTGCCTTTTCTCTGAGAATAGTGTGCCGACCGAACCCTCTGGTCACACCCAGGTGCATCGTTGTTTGTAAGCAAAATGTGGTGAATAAACTGTTGAGTCCCCAAGAACTTGAAAGCCCATTACCTAGACCTTATCAATCAATCCTGGACCCATGGACTACTAAAAGAATGGAAGAAGGCAGAAATAGTCCCCATAGCCACAAAAGGAAAGCCCAAGGAAAAAAATTCAGTTACTGCCCCATAAGCTGCCTTAGAAAGATTAGTGAACAACAGGTTACCTAATTTCCTGGAAGAAAACAAGATACGAGAGTCAGACAGGAAGAACACAAGAGCAAGCTGATTAGGTTACAAAAATGTGTCCCCCAGGGAGGTGTTATACCTCCTACTCTGTTTATTCTCCCAAAACAGTTCACAGCTTCCATGCAGATGAGCTGGCCATATGAACCTAAGGTGAACATATAGGGACATCAAAACAGGAATGCAGGAGGCTATAAATACAGTTACGAAATATACAGACTCTTAGGGAGTCACAATAAACCAGACCAAAACTGTCTCGACTTCTCTCTTTCCACTAAACTAGAACAAGTTTATATCTAGAAGGCAACCTCCTTTCAGAAGAGTAAAATTTGAGAGAAGACTAACCTGGGGCCCCCACATTGAAGACACCCAAAGGAAAGCTTCGCTGTGGCTCAGACTTAGAAGAAACTTCTAGAACAAGCTAGGATGCAGATGCCAACACTGTATGACAAGTATACACTGGTTACGTACAACCTAAACTGAAGTATGGCATGGGAGCAGACTCCACTGCAGCCAAATCAAATCCATACAAACTGGACACAATACAGAACACTGGTCTCAGAATTATCACTAGAGGTATGAGAAGCACACCTATCAATGACCTGGAGGTAACTTCTGGTCTCCAGAGCTTAAGCCATCGAAGGAAAGAAAAGGTGCTTACCTTAACAGAGAAATTTAAATGCATGAACAACAACCCCATGTACAGAATAGTAAATAACTTAACTAAAAACTGACTGACAAGACACAGCTTTCACAACTAAAAACTGACTGACAAGTCACAGCTTTCACCATTCATCAAAATTGTACTACGCAAAAAACAGTGACATCCTTGCTGAAGACCCTTTAACATGGGAAATGATCCAGACATACAGCAGAAACATACAGTCACAACAACAATTCCAGGCATAGATAGAAAGGCTGCCGGAGGAGCTGGATCGGTCATCATGCTGCAAGATGGGACCATAGTAGAAACGTCACGCTATCTGGAAGACTCAACAAACTTCAGAACAAAGCAGCAAGCAGTTAATGAGGCAAGCAAAGTGCTTGAAAAAAAAAGAAAAATTAAAAACAGCAAAATCATTTTCCTTTGTGACTGCATGTCAGTCCTTGGGGCGACTCAGAGGGATGGATCCCGGCTCACTGCTGCATACCAGGAAATGAGTTAGCAGACTTGCAAAAATGGAACAAAGAAGAAACAACACACCCATTCATTGTCATAACTAGAAATGTAAACAATCATTGAGAGAAAATAAAAGGAATTGTGGAGAGAACAAACCATCAGTAAACATCCACAAGACCCCATCAGCAGACTGAACAGAAAGCAACATACAACAATTTTCTTTCTACGGACAGGACACTGCAGGCTCAGCTACCACATGCATAAAATAAAGACTGTACAGTCCCCACAGTGTGCCTGTCAGACAGGACCACAAACACCTGAGCACATTCTACAGACCTGCCCACTCTACCTACAACTTCGAAAAGAAACCTGTCCTCAAGACAAAGTGTGAAGAGCAAGCTATGGGAAACCATAAAGGACCTGCTGTTGACATGCCAGTTCATAAAGGCAGCCCACTGGATGGTCTGATCTGAGCATATGAAACCAAATGCAAAGAAGAAGAAGAAGAAGAAGAAGAAAGGATATAGACTGGTCACCCAGCTACTGAGTTGAGTGCATGGCATGACATGCTCTTTGACTGCCCAGCAAGGTTTGTGTTGTGAACTGCAGATTCAGAAAATAGCGAGTGGCCTGTTGCCAGAGAACTTCTGGTGCAATGAAATGTGTGATCTGTTGTAGCTGCTGCTTCCATTGATGTGAACTGTATTTCTAGTTTGAGACTGTGTTGGCCTGTCTGACTGCTGCTTTATTAATTTAATGCACCTATATGCTGTTGGATTTGCAAAGAATTCAGCTTGTCCATTTTTTCCCCCCACAAGGGACAGCGATGGACAATCTGTGGTTGTTGGTGGCACAGTAATAGCAACTATGGGATGTCCTGTTTGCTCTGAAGTTGAAACTGTGATTACCTGATTAGCAAAGCTTGTCGTCTGGATATAGAAGAGCTCACTTGTGGCATGTGACCTGACTGACTGCTTACTTATCAACTGTGTGTTTCTGTTTGTCAACTATGTTTCTCTTTGGCAGCCTGCATCATGTCGAGCACATCAAAGAAGCACAAGAATTTTGTGTCAGAGCCCATGGGAGATAAACCTGTCACAGAACTTGCAGGCATCGGTGAGGTTCTTGGCCATCGTTTGGAGGACAACAATTACGACAAGGTACACTGTTGTTTGGTATCCGCTACATTGTTATTTAAACAATGCATGAATACAGAATGTGACAGACAGCTCAGCAAAAGTGTGACACTTGTAGAAGTGTCAGTCTGCCTTCAGTTACCCACCTTTCTGGCAGATGTACTGTGACTTTGAAAGAAACACCCCTAATCTGTCCAATGTTACAACATATATGTTTGTCAACCAAAGAACAAAACAGGGAAAGAGAACTCACAGCAGGAAAACTGAAAGGTCAGATCACAAGTAGTCAACATTTCTAATGTCCCTCTGTGGGTTCCAGCCTCCATTTTGGGGAGCAAACGTAGACCCCCCTGCGCCTCTAACATACATGTCATAGGAGTCAACAAGTTAGGGGTGTTTCCTCCCACGTCACAGTACATCCACCTGAAAAGGGAGAAACCAATAATCTGCATACAAATAAGAAAGATCTGTAAAAGGGATGTGCACAGAAACTAGCCCTGAAAGTGGAAGAACAACCAGAACTTTTCACTAGAGTTTATAGCTGATGCATATGAAGAAGAATAAATTTGATGGGGGAGAAAAAGTCAACCATCTGGAGAATAAAATATACAGGAAGGATAATTGGGAAAAGAGGGAGGCTGAAAATGTGCTTTGGATATCATTTTGTTTGTTTCCGCATGGTTGCCTTGTGTGTCACCATTTGTTTGTTGTTCTGCTCTTCTGAACTGGAACTGGCAGTTGTCTTACAACTTGTCTTACATGTCACAAAATAAATCATGATACCAAATATGTTTGCAGGCACCAAAGTTAGTCCTTGTTTTGTTGCAGGCATACACAGTTCTGGGCCAGTTCCTTCTCTTCAAGAAAGATGAGACGCTCTTCAAGGACTGGCTGAATGACATCTCTGGGGCCAACAGCAAGCAGCAGAACGACTGCTACCAGTGCCTGAAGGAGTGGTGTGATTCTTTCCTCTAGATGTCCAGGTCTCAGTTTTCTGCTGATGTGCACATGCTGTTGTAGAAACTCATGCTTGATCTCAGATGCTACGATCATGGCAAATGATAACAAGACACTGGTGTGATCATGTGATCAGCCGTGTTTGGCCACCTGGAGCATGATGTGGGACTGTAGAACTGTTCTCATTGTTGCACACACTGTATCAGATTGGGCTGACTCTGTGACCATGTGAAAGATATCAAGAGAACTGATGTTGTTCATGTCCTGTATATTTCTGTCTGCTTGTTTCTCCCAGCACAGCTGTACTTTTTAATTGAAATGTTTTAAAATCATTGATGAAATCTAAAGTTTATGACATCTAAATGTAGTTTGTGTGTTTTATTTTGTTTTCTACAGATGTGTGTGAATGTTTGTGAAGTATTCATGATACTGGAAGTAACTAGTACCTGGAAGTAGCCCGTGCTGCAGGGATAAAGAGGGTTAGAGTTGTTTTCAATGATTATAATCACAGCAACAAAGCAGAAACCACTTTTGCCAGTAAGCATCATGGGGAGGAATAATGTGCCATCCAGTGGACCCTGACTGCACTGGCTATTGTAATGCTGTGAAGGTGTCGAGTGTTTTTTTTTTTGTCATTCCATATTTTTGGGGTCTTGCTCTTGTAGCTGGTCTTCTGAGATATAGTGCCTGTGATGGTATTTGATCCTGCTGTACTCTAACGAGATGGCCAGACCACTTGATCTGCTGTTTCTTGATGAATCTAGTACAAGGCGACAGAATGGTGAAATGTGAAATCTCCAATCCCTGGAGATACCCAGGACATCTATCACAGAGGCGCACATTTGCAGATATCTGACTAAAGATCGAGTTTGGGCCCACAAGTGCTAGGGTCTTGTGGTGCAAGCTGGGTGGTAATTTATGTGAGGTTATTGATGCTAAACTTGAGGAAAAGTTGCTGGAGGACACACTAACAGGGTTTGGTGACATAATCTACACTCACTGTGCCCGCGAATTCAGCACAGTCGAAAAGACGCAGCCTGGTGTCAAGCAAGAAAAAAAGCAGAAGGCCGAGAGACATGAGAAGTGCTGAGCAGACAAGAATGCACTAAGAAAACGGTTCAAAGCTCCTACAGGCAGCAAACGGGAGGAACTGAACAAGGTCTGGCTGCACCTGAAGAGCAGACACTCTTGTCAGCGTTTCTGTAAGAACAGACAGAGAACCAAAAGGGAATGAGAAAAGTTCTTTAGGGACCCGTTCCAGTTTCCCGCGGCCTGTTTGTTCAACCCGAGCCTGGGACTGATTGTCTGCAAAGACGAATTGGAGTCGCATCTACTGAAGATGTGCTTTGACCGGACAAGGCATGAACCTCTCGATGACAACCCAGAGATCACCAGCAGCCTGAAGTGACCTGAGTTGCTGAAGGCAAAGCTCAAAACGATGCCTCCCTGAGGAAGAAATTGTGACAAAAGCCAGCGGCAAATCTGCCCCAGGACCCAATGTCTTCCCCCAAAAAGCTTCACCACCTGCTGCGACTAGTATGGAGCCAAAAGTGTTTATGTAAAGAGTGGCAGCGAGCCGACGGAGTCTACATCTCCAAGGAGCGAGACTCCTGTAATCTGTCTCAATTCAGACCTATCTGGCAGTTGAACTTTGAGGGCCAAATATTCTTCTCGGTGATGGCATGCAGACTCGCACATTTTTTTATGCTGAATAAATACATCAACACAGCGGTGCAAAAAGGTGGCATCCCCGGGTGTCTTGAAAGTTTAACGCCTGTCCGATGAACCAACCGCTCACTAGTCACTCTAGTCATGGAGGCAGGTGGCTAATTTGCTACCACAGTGAAAAAACCTCACAATACATGTTGCAAAGCCAGCATTTTGGGTCCAAACATTTGTTAAGCGCAGCAGGGGATGTCGGAGGCCTGGGAATCATGACCCAGGTCGGTCCACCATTTGGAATTGTCTAGGAGGATAATAGACCGAAACAGTTGTCATCGATGGACCCTTTTACTGATGATTGGTAAAGCTCCTGCTGTTGTTATTATAACGTGTCATTCCCACAGTCTGATAGTATCATCATTCATGTGATTTAGGATGGTTAGGTTGGTGGCTTTTCTCAGGTATCTCATCTCACAGGTGGTGATTTTGATACGTCAGCTTTAGATAATATCTATGTTTGACACTGGTAACTCATTGTTGACATTACTAAGTTGTTTATAATCTGTTTCTGATTTGATTTGATTCAAGAACCAACATCACAGCACCCGGGGCATTCCCATAAGCACTCCGTCTCCATCTTCAGCAGCCAGCGAAAAGTTCCGATACTAATGGTGCCAGTAGCTTTCTGATTAAACATCCGTCTTGCCTTTCCTCTGAGCCTTGAGCTTCTGCCAGAACCTCTCGTCACCCCCAACTGCATCAATCTCACCAAACTGTGGTGATTCATCTGCTCCTCCGCATTGTACACGCTCTTCCACAAGGCACTAACCACGTCTGCCCTATCATGTAGAAGTATTCCACCAAGTTGTGCAGAGCCAGCCAGTCTGTCCGCCTGTTCATTTAAAATCTGTTTCTTTGCAGTCATAGTTATCTTTGTGTGTTTAAATATGGTCATATTTGGTATATAAGTGCACTTGCTTTCTGACATCTGCTTTCTTTTTCTCATTCAATTTTGCCATCTTGATCACCATTCTAACACACAGTGACAAGCGCTCCAGTTTAACAGTCTCACCAGACAATGATAACTGCTTTAGTGTAACATTGACAGTCTCAACAGACTGGGACAACCACTGAAGTGTAACATTGACAGTCTCAACAGACTGGGACAACCACTGTAGTGTAACATTGACAGTCTCAACAGACTGGGACAACCACTGTAGTGTAACACTGACAGTCTCACTAGATGACCGCTCCAGTCTAACATTGACAGTCTCACTAGATGACCGCTCCAGTCTAACATTGACAGTCTCACTAGATGACCGCTCCAGTCTAACACTGACAGTCTCACTAGATGACCGCTCCAGTCTAACATTGACAGTCTCACTAGATGACCGCTCCAGTCTAACATTGACAGTCTCACTAGATGACTGCTCCAGTCTAACATTGACAGTCTCACTAGATGACCGCTCCAGTCTAACATTGACAGTCACTAGATGACCGCTCCAGTCTAACATTGACAGTCTCACTAGATGACCGCTCCAGTCTAACATTGACAGTCTCACTAGATGACCGCTCCAGTCTAACATTGACAGTCTCACTAGATGACCGCTCCAGTCTAACATTGACAGTCTCACTAGATGATCGCTGTAGTCTAACATGACAGACTCACTAGATGACCGCTCCAGTCTAACATTGACAGTCTCACTAGATGACCGCTCCAGTCTAACATTGACAGTCTCACTAGATGACCGCTCCAGTCTAACATTGACAGTCTCACTAGATGACTGCTCCAGTCTAACATTGACAGTCTCACTAGATGATTCGCTCCAGTCTAACATTGACAGTCACTAGATGACCGCTCCAGTCTAACATTGACAGTCTCACTAGATGACCGCTCCAGTCTAACATTGACAGTCTCACTAGATGACCGCTCCAGTCTAACATTGACAGTCTCACTAGATGACGGCTCCAGTCTAACATTGACAGTCTCACTAGATGACCGCTCCAGTCTAACATTGACAGTCTCACTAGATGACTGCTCCAGTCTAACATTGACAGTCTCACTAGATGACCGCTCCAGTCTAACATTGACAGTCACTAGATGACCGCTCCAGTCTAACATTGACAGTCTCACTAGATGACCGCTCCAGTCTAACATTGACAGTCTCACTAGATGACCGCTCCAGTCTAACATTGACAGTCTCACTAGATGACCGCTCCAGTCTAACATTGACAGTCTCACTAGATGACCGCTCCAGTCTAACACTGACAGTCTCACTAGATGACCGCTCCAGTCTAACACTGACAGTCTCACTAGATGACCGCTGTAGTATAACATGACAGACTCACTAGATGATCGCTGTAGTCTAACATGACAGACTCACTAGATGACCGCTCCAGTCTAACATTGACAGTCTCACTAGATGACCGCTCCAGTCTAACATTGACATAAACAGGTATACAAATATAAAAGTGAACATAAACAAACTAAACAAATATAATAGAAGAAGTCAGTAAACAATGGACAGTTGTAATAAATCATTGCTCTAACACTCATCGTCTGTGAAGACTGCTTCAGTTGTAGCCCGTGAGATGGCTGTCGCCTGGCGGCTGAGTGCTGCATCTAGACAGGTGACATTTGAGTCAGTGTCAGTGAAATATAGTTTATAGCTGTATAACATGTACTGACCTCACATATATACCATGGTAGTGTGTACACACTTGTATATGGATGTGTTAGTGAAATATAGTTTATAGCTGTATAACATGTACTCACCTCACATATATACCATGGTAGTGTGTACACACTTGTATATGGATGTGTTAGTGAAATATAGTTTATAGCTGTATCACATGTACTGACCTCACATATATACCATGGTAGTGTGTACATGTGTACACATTTGTATATTGATGTGTTAGTGCTGAGTGTGTGTATGTATTTTAACTTGTCAGTGATGTAAAAATCAAGATGGAAGCAGAGACATTTCTGCAGATCTTTCATCAGCTTGCAACATTAGAGCTCCACAGGAGAATAAAAGTCAGCACTGGTACATATGGCTTGTCTCTCTCTGACACATGTGCATGGAAAACATCTCATATTTATAAAGTGGTAATATTGTGTCTCAAAACTAGATGGTGTAATGTGAATATAATTTAGGAGGAAGATTTGACTCAACACTGGGGATTAGTGTTCTTGTTTTGTTTTACCCAGTATCTGACTCATGGCTGGTCATGTGGTTGTGTCTTGTACTGACTCCAGCAGCAGTGTCATTTCCTTGTCCGTTATTCTCTGCCTGTGTCTGTTGTTTTATTCTCTGACTGTTGTTAACCTAGGACACGCTGGCAGGTTGGTGGTGGGGGACGGTTTCAGGGGCACAGTGCGGTTTTATTCTCTGACTGTTGTTAACCTAGGGCACGCTGGAAGGTTGGTGGTGGGGGACGGTTTCAGGGGCACAGAGCGGTTTTATTCTCTGACTGTTGTTAACCTAGGGCACGCTGGAAGGTTGGTGGTGGGGGACGGTTTCAGGGGCACGGTGCGGTTTTATTCTCTGACTGTTGTTAACCTAGGACACGCTGGAAGGTTGGTGGTGGGGGACGGTTTCAGGGGCACGGTGCGGTTTAAAAAAAAAAATTAGCCATTCTTCTATTTTCACTGTGAAACTGTTGCTGGAGCCAAAACGTATTGCCGGCTGTGCAATTGTTTTCTTTTTGTGTGTGATCACTGTGCTGTACACCAAGAGATGAGTTCTTCTGATACAAGTGAGTTTTTAGGAGTTCCCGTTTAGTTGCATACAACTTTGAGAATGGTGGTGACTCACTGGATCACTATTCCTGTCTTATTGGCTGTACAGGGGACAACTGACATGTTATGTAGTCTGCTCACTTGGGCACCATGGTGAAGTACTCAGACAAAGCCTGTACATAGGCTAGATGTGCCATGAAATGGACATCAGCAAACAAGCAGGCAATATTTGACTATAAACAACTTCAACAAACAAGCAGGGAATATGTGAAGTGTTCAACATCAACAAACAACCAGGCAATATGTGAGGTGTTCAACATCAACAAACCAGCAGGCAATATGTGAAGTGTTCAACAAACAAGCGGGCAATATGTGAAGTGTTAAACATTAGCAAACAAGCAGGCAGTATGTGAAGTGTTCAACATCAACAAACAAGCAGGCAATATGTGAAGTGTTCAACATCAACAAACAAGCGGGCAATATGTGAAGTGTTCAACATCAACAAACAAGCAGGCGGTATGTGAAGTGTTCAACATCAACAAGCAGACAGTATGTGAAGTGTTGAACATCAACAAACAAGCGGGCAATATGTGAAGTGTTCAACAAACAAGCGGGCAATATGTGAAGTGTTGAACATCAACAAACAAGCGGGCAATATGTGAAGTGTTCAACATCAACAAACAAGCAGGCAGTATGTGAAGTGTTCAATATTAACAAACAAGCAGGCAATATGTGAAGTGTTCAACATCAACAAACAAGCAGGCAGTATGTGAAGTGTTCAATATTAACAAACAAGCAGGCAATATGTGAAGTGTTCAATATTAACAAACAAGCATGCAATATGTGAAGTGTTCAACGTCAACAAGCGGGCAATATGTGAAGTGTTCAACATCAACAAGCAGGCAATATGTGAAGTGTTCAACATCAACAAGCGGGCAATATGTGAAGTGTTAAACATTAGCAAACAAGCGGGCAATATGTGAAGTGTTCAACATCAACAAACAAGCAGGCAATATGTGAAGTGTTCAACATCAACAAACAAGCAGGCAATATGTGAAGTGTTCAACATCAACAAACAAGCAGGCAATATGTGAAGTGTTCAACATCAACAAGCGGGCAATATGTGAAGTGTTCAACATCAACAAGCGGGCAATATGTGAAGTGTTCAACATCAACAAGCGGGCAATATGTGAAGTGTTCAACATCAACAAACAAGCAGGCAATATGTGAAGTGTTCAACATCAACAAACAAGCAGGCAATATGTGAAGTGTTCAACATCAACAAACAAGCGGGCAATATGTGAAGTGTTCAACATCAACAAACAAGCAGGCAATATGTGAAGTGTTCAACATCAACAAGCGGGCAGTATGTGAAGTGTTCAATATTAACAAACAAGCAGGCAATATGTGAAGTGTTCAACATCAACAAGCGGGCAATATGTGAAGTGTTCAACATCAACAAGCAGGCAATATGTGAAGTGTTCAACATCAACAAGCAGGCAATATGTGAACGAAATAATTGAAATACCTGGCTTTTGATTTGTTTCACTTTCATGGTCTTCATCATCAGAGAGTCGGCTGGGAACAGACAGAAATAGGTTAGTTGTGTATCCTTTCCAGAACCAACCCCAGCAGCCCCTAGGCAAATTTATGTCCAGTAGTTTGCTTTCTGGATGGTCGGCTCCCTGATATTACTGTTGAAACAAAGGCAAGGCGCATGGCCCGCAGCTGGGATCGAACCCTGCATTACAAAGAGTTCACATCGACTTAGCCACAGAGCGGACAGACAGAAATAAGTTTTATAAAATGTGAGTACTAGCATCAAACACACGTCATCAGCTCTTACACAGATGAGTACAGATATCAAACACATGTCATCAGCTCTTACACAGATGAGTACAGATATTAAACACATGTCATCAGCTCTTAATCTGCAAGAAATCACACGACAGTAGGTGATTAACTACAGCTGGTGAGGTGTGCAGGTAATGGTTGTAACAGCCACTTGCATTTCCAATGTCAAAGAGAAATGTTTTATTTGACCCCTAATGAAGACAGACTGTTTGCTACACAACCACTGGGTTGACATCTCAAACCTGGCAGAAAGAATGCTCACTGCATGCATGTGTGAAAGCTACCAAGTATTACTACAGCGCACATATCCTCTCAACAGCCAAGCAACAATGAGGAAAATATCACGTGATACCCTCCAGCGAAATCGTTACCTGCTAACATTTACACATATAAATTGATCACGCCTCACCACTGTTTACTATGGAAGGATTGACTACTCACAACAGATGGCAACACGCAAGGCACAAACTTCACAGATTGCAGCTTCCTGTCCTTTGGCGACCCAAAATAAAATTGCACTCCGTTCTGCAACCATGGTCCATGGTCAAAATGACTGCTGTAATAAAAGTTCTGGCTACAAGATGTGTAAAACCAATTTTATTTAAGAAAACTTGAAAGGAAAACAATAATTTTTATTGTTACAAAATCGGTAACATTTTTTTAACAGGTCAAGGGACAGACTTGTAAAACCATTTGATGTAGTAACTGATGAAATCAGTCTCTGAAGCACAAACATGCAGACAGACGTGCAGACAAACTACCTGTTTTCTTCATGGTCATCTGTGTTTGCTTCACCTCCAGCCTCTGGTCCCACTGGAGACAGCGTCAGTGGGTTGAACTGTCTGTAGAGCTGTCCCAAGAGTCCTACTCTGTGGGTGATAGTGTTGCAAGTAGCAGGTTACAGCAGGCAGTTTTACAAGTAGCATGGTGAACAGAACAAACAGTGAGTGGCTAAATGAGCTCTAATGGACTGAATGATGACCTCACAATGTTCTACAGTCTTGGCTGCTTCTTATCATGTTTCATACCTCAAAGGAGGTCTATGTTTTGTTATGAAATCTCAGGTCCTTTTCAAAGATGAACCTGGTATTAGACACAATGTTTAACATTGAAGTTGTAGAACTATGTTCTCTGTGACATTTATTCGAGGTCAGATGTGTCAGGAAACACAAGTTACATTGCTGGCTACAGTCAACACAAGACCATTTCCAGACAAAACTAGATGAATGAGACAATTGTAACATACACATATCTGAGTTGTCACATAACAGTTATATATAAAAGAAAACTAAAAACAGAGTGACTGGACAGGGAATATAAGGTAACTTAGACTAAGCAATTAACTCTGACAAGGTGAATTATGCTAAACAATCAACTCTGACAGAATACAAGGTGAATTATGCTAAACAATAAAATCTGACAGGATACAAGGTGAATTAGGCTAAACAATTAACTCTGACAGGACACAAGGTGAATGTCTGTAAACAACTCACTTGAAACTGCTGACATCTAGCATCTGGTCCAGGAGGTTGTTCTCTGTGTAATCATCAGCTTCTGCATCCCTCAGGGCGTAGAAACTGCTCCTGGGGAACCAAGATGGAATCCATGAAACTGGGTCATTGTGGGTAATCTTCACAGGAATATACTTTGCTCCATGATACAAATTCTAACATCTGTTGCAAGATTACTGGTTTTTGTGTCTGTACAGAACAATCAATTCTGTCTGTTCTCTCCCTTCTGGGCTGATGTGTTGACCAGCCTGAGATGACACAATCCCAGTCTCAGCGTCAAGTCTCAGATACCAAGTTCAACCTCCGCAGAAGTTATAAGTGGGGCACTAGCAGTGATGAGACCAGCCAGGTGTCACCCGCAGTCTACACGAGGTCACATCTGATCAAGGCCTGAGGACACTCCTATAACTCCCAATGTCTCCCGTTCATGAAGGAACAATCCCCAGTGAAAGTTGAACAAACAATCTTGTGTGAAAGCTGAGCAATCTTGTGTGAAAGCTGAACAATCTTGTATGAAAGCTGAACAATCTTGTGTGAATGCTGAGACACTGGAATCCCAGCTGAAGATGACCGGAATGTTTAGAACAGCCCTGTTCTCAAATGACATCACACAATTTCACATGAAATCAGTTAATGTTTGTACACAAGCTAGAGAAAAGAATTCCGAATAAGATAACTAGTGTCTCTGCACTGGAACCATCAGTGCAAATCAATAAAGGGAGATCACACCAGAAGCAGGGAAAAGATTGGGAAGGGACCTGGCATGTTGTCAGCAGCATGGGATGGCAAAGAATAGAATGGGTTAGTGCAAGTCTGTTCAGGATCCTTGCTGCACTAGGAGATGATGAAGAAGAAAAAGAGGTTAATAATTCCTTATCTGAATATTTAATAACTAGCAAAGAAATGTCCCTGACATAACAATGACAAGAATATGTAGATGTATGGAATTTACCAATTTTATTGTAGGAATATTCATTCTAAAATCTTGCTGCAAACACCAGCATAGATAAAAGTACTGTAACATTTGTTCAAAATCCATGTTGGTGGCCTAAACCTTCTGAAAGCATCATGCCTATATGAACCAGACAAGCCAGTTCCAGGGCAAAAAGAAACATTAGGAAAAGGTGGAAAATAAAATCCAAGAATGTACATACCTTTCAGTTTTCTCATGTGGGCGTCGAAACAGCCTGTGGGCTTCTTCTTTGGGTGATGGCAGGATAGATATAATAGCTGGAGATCTCTGACTGTGGATTGAAAATATTGCACCCAACAATAAACACTTTATTTCATGGACTTTAAACACTTTATTTCATGGACTTTAAACACTTTCTTTTCATGGACTTTAAACACTTTATTTAATGGACTTTAAACAGTTTATTTAATGGACTTTAAACAGTTTATTTCATGGACTTTAAACAGTTTATTTCATGGACTTTAAACACTTTATTTAATGGACTTTAAACAGTTTATTTCATGGACTTTAAACACTTTATTTAATGGACTTTAAACAGTTTATTTCATGGACTTTAAACAGTTTATTTCATGGACTTTAAACAGTTTATTTCATGGACTTTAAACAGTTTATTTCATGGACTTTAAACACTTTATTTCATGGACTTTAAACACTTTTTTTTCATGGACTTTAAACAGTTTATTTCATGGACTTTAAACAGTTTATTTCATGGACTTTAAACAGTTTATTTCATGGACTTTAAACACTTTATTTCATGGACTTTAAACAGTTTATTTCATGGACTTTAAACACTTTATTTCATGTTTAAACACTTTTTTTATGGACTTATGTGGGAGCTGGGCAAGCAGACAGCTGACTGGGTCAGCAGGTATTCAGTTTGCATTCTGTAATATTTCTTGGTTTCAAATACACTTATACACATATGTATATACACACACACACACACATGTAACGATACAGTATATAGTTGGGAGCTATGGTGACTAGCGTGATTTGCCTGCCCACTGAAAGGTCATATGTTTGAATCTTCTTCAAGATGGTGACATTTTTAATTGAACTCTGCTTCCAGGTGGATCCAGCCCACTCCAGGTGGTTGACCCAGCTCACTCCAGGTGGTTGACCCAGCCCACTCCAGGTGGTTGACCCAGCTCACTCCAGGTGGTTGACCCAGCCCACTCCCAGGTGGTTGACCCAGCCCACTCCAAGGTGGTTGACCCAGCCCACTCCCAGGTGGTTGACCCAGCCCACTCCCAGGTGGTTGACCCAGCCCTCCCCATCTTTTTAACTTGACTCTCTCTACTTCTCTTCTTCTTTAACTTTTTGGTATGAATTTATTTATGTGACTGGGTTGTTAAGTACATCCTTTTTAGTGATACTGTCTTCAGGTTTTCCCACTGTGTGGCCTATCCAACACCAGCATCTTTTACACCTCTTGAATCAATGGAAATTGTTTAGTTCTTTCCCAAAGCTCCACATTGGTGGTTCTGTCAAAACATTTCATTCACTGTATTTTGCATAGACACCAGCTAATGAAAATTTCTAGTTCAATAGTCCATGACTTAGTTGTATGCTGGTTGATCTTCATTATCTTTGTCTTTCCCTGACAGATTTCTAGGCCCAACTTTTGTGATCTCTTCCCGTTTGTTTAACTGATCTTGTTTCCAATTGCCTGGGTGGGATACAAGTTTAGATTATCAAGCTGTTCTGTGGGGGTCCAATGGATTATTCCCAGGTCGACCTTGCCTTGAGTGGGTACCAGGTGTAGTTCTGGGAAGTAAAGGTGGCTGATGTGATGCTGACCACATCACTCCTCTTGTGCCGATTGGTCTATCAAAATACAGGTCTAGCCCTATATGCTCTATACACCTAAAGGCCTGGAAAAAGGTCCTTAACTTTGTTTTTTTTTTTTAAACAATGGATTATTACAAAATGCAGATGAGGAGAACTCACCAAAGACCCAAGAATGGTTTTTCTTATCAGAAATTCCTCTTATCCAGACAGGAGTTCAAGCAAGAAAAATTACCAGTGATAATCAAACTGTTCTTCACAACAGAAATTCGTCACATCCGAGATCACCTAGTCTGGCCTGCACTGTATATAAATTAATGATTAACTGGTGTCAAATGATTATAAGTTTTCTATTGGTTTCAATTATATGTGGTCTTTCTAAGATCTTTTTTATCAATTTAAAGATCTGCAAGCACGTTTATCATGTCAAGGTGTCTGTCTCTATCCAAAGTGTTTGTGTAGTCCATGAAGTAAAACTTTACACGTTTTTTTCTTCTAGAGAACTTTCTATTAACAATATTTATGCATGTTGTATCCTTGCTGTCTATGAAATCAGACTGCTGTGAGATATGAATCAATGAGGACCTTATCACAGTGTTGCACAATTGATGGATTGTTGTCCTCACAGTTGTTGCACAATTGATGGATTATTGTCCTCACACATGTTGCACAATTGATGGATTGTTGTCCTCACACATGTTGCACAATTGATGGATTGTTGTCCTCACACATGTTGCACAATTGATGGATTGTTGTCCTCACACATGTTGCACAATTGATGGATTGTTGTCCTCACACATGTTGCACAATTGATGGATTATTGTCCTTACACATGTTGCACAATTGATGGATTGTTGTCCTCACACATGTTGCACAATTGATGGATTGTTGTCCTCACACATGTTGCACAATTGATGGATTGTTGTCCTCACAGATTTCACAATCTAATGTGCCATTTTCAAGGCAGGAGAACAAGAAGAAGAGGAAAACAACATAAACATACTCACTTGACAATGGATTTGATTGCTGGTCTTTTCCTGGAGCAGGACGAGTCAAATGAAAAAGTTACCTGTGTATTCTTTATAGGATGTTGCAGCTATTTGTGGCTGTTCTAGGCACATTTTACATTCAGTAGTCTGCCAATGCTTTCAGAATGGATGGCTCTTGATACCAGTGTCAAAACCAGCGCAAGGTGGTTTGCTGCTAAATCGCATGCAACTGGATCAAACCTGGCACCTTGGCATTACATAGCATGTTCACAGTGCCTAAGCCACAGAGGCCAGCAAATGTCAGTTTAACAAACTTTATTCATCATCATCATCACGACAGAGTATGTAAATGTGAATATATATCAGGGCTGGAGAGAGAGGTTCCCAACATGGAGGGGGAGGGGACAGAAGCACATACATTTATTGTTACATGTTGCTTGTGTATGTATGTGTGTGTATATACATATTTATATATAAATTACAAAACTTTATTAAAGTTTAAAATATTCTCCTTACGGACAAGAAAGCAATGGCAAACTACTGAACATAAATTTGCCTAGAAAAACCACATAACAGCCAAGGGCTGTTGGGGTTGGTTCTGCAACGTCCTTTAACTAACCTAACCTTATGGACAATACAGTGTTATAGACACTATCGCTGCAGAAGTTGTTGAGTGTGGTCACCTGCTACTTCTGAAAGGTGAACTATTGCCAGCGTCTCAGTTGCAATAAAAACTGCTACAATAAGTCACACTGTATTATGAGAACATATCTTCTATACTGAGATTCAGTAAATAATTAGTCTTTTCTCGTCTCACTGATACCAAGTTATGGCCCAGTGTCGTGGTTTTTGTCATCTCACTAATACCAGGTTGTAGCCCAGTGTCGTGGTTTTTGCCATCTCACTGATACCAGATTGTAGCCCTGTGTTGTGGTTTTTGGCGTCTCACTGATACCAGGTTGTAGCCCAGTGTTGTGGTTTTTGTCATCTCACTGATACCAGGCTGTAGCCCAGTGTTGTGGTTTTTGTCATCTCACTGATACCAGGCTGTAGCCCAGTGTTGTGGTTTTTGTCATCTCACTGATACCAGGTTGTAGCCCAGTGTTGTGGTTTTTTGTCGTCTCACTGATACCAGGCTGTAGCCCAGTTTTGTGGTTTTTGGCGTCTCACTGATACCAGGTTGTAGCCCAGTTTTGTGGTTTTTTGTCGTCTCACTGATACCAGGCTGTAGCCCAGTGTTGTGGTCCTGTCATCTCAGTGATACCAAGTTTTAGCCCGTTGTGGTGGTTTTTTCATCTCACTGATATAAAGTTATGGCCCAGTGTCATGGTTTTCTCAATCTGTCCTGTGTTTCTTAAATGCTAGGGTGATGAGTTCACTAATCTTTTTGCAGGTATCGGCTACACCATTTCCCCTTCTCCTTCCCTTGCCTTTCTCCCAAATGTTTCTGGAACAAGACTCAAGTCTTGGGCGGACATAGGCACATGTAGGACAATACACAACACATGTAGGACAATACACAAAACAATTATTTGTAGATTCAGAAAATGGCGCGATGCCGGTTGTCGCAATATTGGTCTGAGATTCAGTAAATAATTAGTCTTTTCTCGTCTCACTGATACCAAGTTATGGCCCAGTGTCGTGGTTTTTGTCATCTCACTAATACCAGGTTGTAGCCCAGTGTCGTGGTTTTTGCCATCTCACTGATACCAGATTGTAGCCCTGTGTTGTGGTTTTTGGCGTCTCACTGATACCAGGTTGTAGCCCAGTGTTGTGGTTTTTGTCATCTCACTGATACCAGGCTGTAGCCCAGTGTTGTGGTTTTTGTCATCTCACTGATACCAGGCTGTAGCCCAGTGTTGTGGTTTTTGTCATCTCACTGATACCAGGTTGTAGCCCAGTGTTGTGGTTTTTTGTCGTCTCACTGATACCAGGCTGTAGCCCAGTTTTGTGGTTTTTGGCGTCTCACTGATACCAGGTTGTAGCCCAGTGTTGTGGTTTTTTGTCGTCTCACTGATACCAGGCTGTAGCCCAGTGTTGTGGTCCTGTCATCTCAGTGATACCAAGTTTTAGCCCGTTGTGGTGGTTTTTTCATCTCACTGATATAAAGTTATGGCCCAGTGTCATGGTTTTCTCAATCTGTCCTGTGTTTCTTGAATGCTAGGGTGATGAGTTCACTAATCTTTTTGCAGGTATCGGCTACACCATTTCCCCTTCTCCTTCCCTTTCTCCCAAATGTTTCTGGAACAAGACTCAAGTCTTGGGCGGACATAGGCACATGTAGGACAATACACAACACATGTAGGACAATACACAAAACAATTATTTGTAGATTCAGAAAATGGCGCGATGCCGGTTGTCGCAATATTGGTGGGGCCATTATTTGATTAAAATTGATCGCGTTTGCAACTGCTGATCTTTTTGTGACTTCTGCTACCTTCAATGATGAACTGCATTTCTAACGTCAGACTGTTTGTGTTAGCACTTCGGATGGCTACCATATGCTTTTAATGCGAGTGTATGCTAGATTTGCTGACACAATAGTCTTTCCACAAGGGACTGTGAAAAACATTCTGTGTGTTTTTCGTTGGCACAGGAGCGGAGCAAAGATGGAGTGACCCGTTTGCTATGAAGCTGAAATTAAAATTACCAGATTACCAGATTACACAACACATGTAGGACAAACACAACCATCCCAGGACAATACCTAACATGTAATGTACAATACACAACACATTTAGGACAATACCCAACATGTAATGTACAATACCAAACATTTATAGAAAAAAATACACAACACTTATAGATCATGAGACATACGGATAGTGCCGCCTGCTCTCTCTTTGTGTTGATTTCTGTTCTTGTTCCGACATTGTCTGTTCCTTCCAAACTTCTTCCTTGTCTTCAGCTTTGGTAAGTTCTGTCCCACCAGTCCCTGGAACCACACAAATACAGGGCAGACATAGACAAAATACAGGGCGGGAATAGACACAATACAGGGCAGACAGAGACACAATACAGGCCAGACAGAGACAAAATACAGGGCGGGAATAGACACAATACAGGGCAGACAGAGACACAATACAGGGCAGACAGAGACACAATACAGGGCAGACAGAGAGATAATACAGGGCAGACAGAGACACAATACAGGGCAGACAGAGACACAATACAGGGCAGACAGAGATACAATACAGGGCAGGCAGAGACACAATACAAGGCAGACAGAGACACTACACTTGGCAGACTTATTCAAACAATGGATTCACATAACTTATCTAAACAACAGACGCACATAATTTATCTAAACAACGGACTTACATATCTAAACAACGGACTCACTTAACTTATCTAAACAATGGACTCACCTAACTTATCTAAACAACGGACTCACGTAACGTATCCAAACAACGGACATGTACAGTACATCTGAAAACTGGCTTCCGTTTTCAAGCACACTAATTATCAAGAGGAAGCAGGGGTTGGCTTGGCCAGGAAAGCTGTCCAATCTGGAGAGGGGATGAGCCTCTCCTTAAGCTCCAAACACCTGGCAATCATATTTCTCAGGGCATTCACTGTTGTATATTGTATGTGTCAGTTTAGTACAGCCAGAATGGAGGAGATTAGGTCATGCCAGCAACATACATCAAGTTAGAGAGGGTTTTCTTGGTGAAGTCCTGGTAGATTGAAGCAGGCTACAACATCTGTAAACTACATGTATGTAGTAACAGATGAGGATATGCATGATTTCATTAGGTCTTTGAAGTTTAGCCAATAGGCAGTGTGATATCTCACACATGGTTGCACAGGCAGACACACACATAGCGTAGCATAAAAACAGTCATGTACACACACATAGCGTAGCATACAAACAGTCATGTACGCACACATAGCGTAGCATACAAACAGTCATGTACACACACATAGCGTAGCATACAAACAGTCATGTACACACACATAGCGTAGCATACAAACAGTCATGTACACACACATAGCGTAGCATACAAACAGTCATGTACACAAAGAGTCCAAGGCGTCTGTGAGCCCTAAAGTATCTGTACATATTGTCATGTTAGATACTACTGGATTACAGCACTGTTCGAGATGATAATGGTCATATAAACCAAACAGGAACTTGAACTCTGAGTGTAAAGGCAGCCATGTGATAGGTGACTGGTCACTTAGATCAAAATGCCAGGTAATAATTCATTGACTGAATCAGACATACCTGCAGTCTCAGCCTGGGCACGTAGGGCAGGGTTGAAGGTGTCTGACCTCAGAAGTCTGTCAATGAATAATAACCCTTGACGGAATATGTACATCCACTTTCATTATCATTACGTTATTTCACTTGTTTTTACTTGATGATATTAATCATTTGGTGAAATTGTTTTGTTCTTCTTCACATTCACCAGCTGTAAACCGCAGAAAGTTTTGATGTTCATTCACTTCTGAGCTCAAGTCTTGTTCCAGAATCTGAGTGTTGCATGCACAACTGTGTTACAGATTTGGCTTATCTGTATGGAGCACAACTGGTTCTTGCCTCTCAGGCAGATGCACTTCAACTTCGAAGTAAGCTCATAATTATTCAACACTTACGACTTGCGTCTGGGTAAGAAGTGGGTCAATTCCTATTTTCCCCACAATTAGGCCCCAGAATTCACATTTATTATGTTCTCTCAGGCTTGATTCTTCCGCTGATCTGTTTATGTCGTCTCTAAAGCTACTGCAGGAAACTAGTCTGTATAATATTTAGCTCTGCCTTTAAATTAGCTAAATAATAAAAAAAAATTTAAAAACAGACAAAGCATACACAGAAACACACAGGCTGACCACACAGCTACTATATGCTACACAGAAACACACAGGCTCACTACAGAGCTACTAAATGCTACACAGAAACACACAGGCTGACCACACAGCTACTAAATGCTACACAGAAACACACAGGCTGACCACACGGCTACTATATACTACACAGAAACACACAGGCTGACCACACAGCTTCTATATGCTACACAGAAACACACAGGCTGACCACACAGCTACTAAATGCTACACAGAAACACACAGGCTGACCACACAGCTACTAAATGCTACACAGAAACACACAGGCTGACCACACAGCTACTAAATGCTACACAGAAACACACAGGCTGACCACACAGCTACTAAATGCTACACAGAAACACACAGGCTGACCACACAGCTACTATATACTACACAGAAACACACAGGCTGACTACACAGCTACTATATACTACACAGAAACACACAGGCTGACCACACAGCTACTATATACTACACAGAAACACACAGGCAGACCACACAGCTACTATATACTACATAGAAACACACAGGCTGACCACACAGCTACTATATACTACACAGAAACACACAGGCTGACCACACAGCTACTATATACTACACAGAAACACACAGGCTGACCACACAGCTACTATATACTACTCAGAAACACACAGGCTGACCACACAGCTACTATATACTACACAGAAACACACAGGCTGACCACACAGCTACTATATACTACACAGAAACACACAGGCTGACTACACAGCTACTATATACTACTCAGAAACACACAGGCTGACCACACAGCTACTAAATGCTACACAGAAACACACAGCTTCTATATACTACACAGAAACACACAGGCAGATCACACAGCTACTATATACTACACAGAAACACACAGGCTGACCACACAGCTACTATATACTACTCAGAAACACACAGGCAGACCACACAGCTACTATATGCTACACAGAAACACACAGGCTGACCACACAGCTACTATATACTACTCAGAAACACACAGGCAGACCACACAGCTTCTATATACTACACAGAAACACACAGGTAGACCACACAGCTACTATATACTACACAGAAACACACAGGCAGACCACACAGCTACTATATACTACACAGAAACACACAGGCAGACCACACAGCTACTATATACTACTCAGAAACACACAGGCAGACCACACAGCTTCTATATACTACACAGAAACACACAGGCAGACCACACAGCTACTATATACTACACAGAAACACACAGGCTGACCACACAGCTACTATATACTACACAGAAACAATTGAATACCTTCCAACTTCCTGCTGGATCTGCACAAACTGTTTTCTGTAGAAAGTGATCCAAACAAAGTAGGTGCAGAACTGGTAGAATGTCTGAGGATGAGAGATTTCATCTCAACAACAGAATGGTGTAGAATGTCTGAGGATAAGAGATTTCATCTCAACAACAGAATGGTGTAGAATGTCTGAGGATGAGAGATTTCATCTCAACAACAGAATGGTGTAGAATGTCTGAGGATGAGAGATTTCATCTCAACAACAGAATGGTGTAGAATGTCTGAGGATGAGAGATTTCATCTCAACAACAGAATGGTGTAGAATGTCTGAGGATGAGAGATTTCATCTCAACAACAGAATGGTGTAGAATGTCTGAAGATGAAAGATTTCATCTCAACAACAGAATGGTGTAGAATGTCTGAGGATGAGAGATTTCATCTCAACAACAGAATGGTGTAGAATATCTGAGGATGAGAGATTTCATCTCAACAACAGAATGGTGTAGAATGTTTGAGGATGAGAGATTTCATCTCAACAACAGAATGGTGCAGAATGTCTGAGGATGAGAGATTTCATCTCAACAACAGAATGGTGTAGAATATCTGAGGATGAGAGATTTCATCTCAACAACAGAATGGTGTAGAATGTCTGAGGATGAAAGATTTCATCTCAACAACAGAATGGTGTAGAATATCTGAGGATGAGAGATTTCATCTCAACAACAGAATGGTGTAGAATGTCTGAGGATGAGAGATTTCATCTCAACAACAGAATGGTGTAGAATGTCTGAGGATGAGAGATTTCATCTCAACAACAGAATGGTGTAGAATGTCTGAGGATGAGAGATTTCATCTCAACAACAGAATGGTGTAGAATATCTGAGGATGATAGATTTCATCTCAACAACAGAATGGTGTAGAATATCTGAGGATGAGAGATTTCATCTCAACAACAGAATGGTGTAGAATGTCTGAGGATGAGAGATTTCATCTCAACAACAGAATGGTGTAGAATGTCTGAGGATGAGAGATTTCATCTCAACAACAGAATGGTGTAGAATGTCTGAGGATGAGAGATTTCATCTCAACAACAGAATGGTGTAGAATATCTGAGGATGATAGATTTCATCTCAACAACAGAATGGTGTAGAATATCTGAGGATGAGAGATTTCATCTCAACAACAGAATGGTGCAGAATGTCTGAGGATGAGAGATTTCATCTCAACAACAGAATGGTGTAGAATATCTGAGGATGAGAGATTTCATCTCAACAACAGAATGGTGTAGAATGTCTGAGGATGAAAGATTTCATCTCAACAACAGAATGGTGTAGAATATCTGAGGATGAGAGATTTCATCTCAACAACAGAATTGTGTAGAATGTCTGAGGATGAGAGATTTCATCTCAACAACAGAATGGTGTAGAATGTCTGAGGATGAGAGATTTCATCTCAACAACAGAATGGTGTAGAATGTCTGAGGATGAGAGATTTCATCTCAACAACAGAATGGTGTAGAATATCTGAGGATGATAGATTTCATCTCAACAACAGAATGGTGTAGAATATCTGAGGATGAGAGATTTCATCTCAACAACAGAATGGTGCAGAATCACAGTATCAGCACTAAAGTACCTTCTGTTTCAGATTTTTGCTGACCCAGAATCTACACGGCGTGCACTAGTGCTAGTCAGTCCTACACGGCGTGCACTAGCGCTTGTCAGTCCTACACAGCGTGCACTAGCGCTTGTCAGTCCTACACGGCGTGCACTAGCGCTTGTCAGTCCTACACGGCGTGCACTAGCACTTGTCAGTCCTACACGGCGTGCACTAGCACTTGTCAGTCCTACACGGCGTGCACAAGCGCTTGTCAGTCCTACAAGGCGTGCACTAGCGCTTGTCAGTTCTACATGCCATCAGTGGCGTCTGGTCACATACAGTGAGTCTATCTATGGTCTAGAACTACATATTATAACTCATAATACCAAACAGGTTACAACTGTGACAAATACATCAATCGCTGGAACATCCCGAAGGCCATAGAAATAGTATGGTTTACAAAATGACATGCATTTATTAGCATTCACATATGCAAAGGAAAGAAGAATGCATGCATTGTTATTCATAAGGTTAAAACAATTTGGTTAGAAACTATGGTGGCCACAAGACTGAAACAATTCTGGCACCAGCATGATTTGTACGATGTGCTAATGAGCTGTGGTCAAACTAATGTAAAAGTGTAGCAGACGAGACTGGTTGAAATGATGTAAAGGTCAGCAGACGTGTAACAATCTTTACTGACCTCGAACAGACTGCGGTCGGTGTTTGTCCTTGACAGTTTTGATCTGCAGAAATATGGAAGAATTAACCAGTAATAAACAGTTTTACAAATGGAAGCCTGGTAAACAGGAAGTGATGTGGTCACTTGAGGATTAAAGCAGCAATAAATAAGAGTAAATTAATCAAAGAATTATAAACATTCATACAGTACTTTTACAAATATGCAGAAATTTGCTGAATTAACTAACATTATGGAAATATGCAATCAATAAGTTTTTATTTAATATACATTATTACTTTTTAAAATTATAATTACTAGTTTTTCTTTTCATTCATTCAAGTCACAGATGTTGTACCTCTTTACAGCAAAGCTGAAATATTTGCATCTTTCGGCCAACACATCCAACTTCATCCAGCGTTTGTATTGAATATTGACTATAATCTTCATCAAAGCTAGGGCAATGATAGGAGGCTTGGTAAATTTAAAAATAGACTATTTGAGTAGAATTAGTAAAAATGAAGGTTTTGAAACTGCTGTCCTAGCTGGGGGACATGGGTTAGGGTGAGCTCTCATTAAATACCCCTTGGGCACATGCATTTATCTCCTCTGACAGCAAAAGTCTAACTCCTGGCCTTCTCGTGGCTGAACTATTTCAAACCAACAGGAGATGCAACTAGCCAGGAGCTACACCACAGCAACCAGAATGCCACACACATACGCTGTAGAAATATGTATAAATCAGCAAAATGTAATGGTGCTCGCCTTGGGATGTACTCTCAGGCATGAGCAGTGCCAGGCCCTCTACCTCAAAGAGGCCCAGTCCATATTGCTGAAGGTCCCCCCCCGATGTCCTGTGGAGCCAGGGGACATACAAATAGAGCATCTGGCCAAATTAAGAAAACAGTCAAATGAATGCACTGGAATGTAGAGATTGGTTAACAATAACAGGAAACACTCCCTGTATGTATGCTGTATATATGCTGTATGTATGCTGTATGTATGCTGTATGTATGCTGTATACAAGAAATCCACTTCATTGAAGACACAACCTTCAAAATCAGAGGCTATCAGTGTTTCCATCAGACAGGAAAGGCAGAATAAAAGGTGGAATACTGACTCTAGTGAGGAACAATATCACTGCGTGCCAGACTGAAGTATATATGGATGGAGCAGAATATCAGATTCTGAAACTACAAACTGGAAATGCAGATTTTCACCTGATCAATTATTACTGCCCAAGTGATCATGCCCAGGCATCAGACACAATCCCAGAAGAAGAAAAGATGATTTTATGTGGAGACTTTAACAGCCACTCACATATCTAGCACAAATGAAAACAACAAATGCCAACCATGTCCCACCTGCCACATGCCATATGATGCTGCTCCTCCAACTCCAGCCCTAGCAACAACAGACTGTAGGCTCCTCCCAGCATTTTCTGGGCATGTTTGAGTCTGTCACAGACATTTGCGTACTCAACCTTCTCACCCTTGCATGGCTCACTGTGGGGTAAGAAAACTGTTTAGTTGCCAAGTTTGAGCCTGTCACAGACATTTGCGTACCAAGTTCACCCTGAGTCTGTCACAGACAACTTTGCAAGTAGTCTCACACCGAACTTCTCACCCTTGCATGGCTCACTGTGGGATAAGAAAACTGTTTAGTTGCCAAGTTTGAGTCTGTCACAGACATTTGCGTACTCAACCTTCTCACCCTTGCATGGCTCACTGTGGGATAAGAAAACTGTTTAGTTGCCAAGTTTGAGTCTGTCACAGACATTTGCGTACTCAACCTTCTCACCCTTGCATGGCTCACTGTGGGGTAAGAAAACTGTTTTGCCAAGTTTGCCAAGTTTGAGTCTGTCACAGACATTTTAGCGTACTCAAGACCTTCTCACCCTTGCATGGCTCACTGTGGGATAAGAAAACTGTTTAGTTGCCAAGTTTGAGTCTGTCACAGACATTTGCGTACTCAACCTTCTCACCCTTGCATGGCTCACTGTGGGGTAAGAAAACTGTTTAGTTGCCAAGTTTGAGTCTGTCACAGACATTTGCGTACTCAACCTTCTCACCCTTGCATGGCTCACTGTGGGATAAGAAAACTGTTTAGTTGCCAAGTTTGAGTCTGTCACAGACATTTGCGTACTCGACCTTCTCACCCTTGCATGGCTCACTGTGGGATAAGAAAACTGTTTAGTTGCCAAGTTTGAGTCTGTCACAGATATTTGCGTACTCGACCTTCTCACCCTTGCATGGCTCACTGTGGGGTAGGAAAACTGTTTAGTTGTCATGTTCAAGCTATTTGAATGAGTGATCTACAACATACAGATAACGATCAAGTTTAATTACTTATCCATCAATAGCATAATGATCAAGTTTAATGACTGATCTGTCAACAACATACACATTACAGTTAACTTTAATGACTGATCTGTCAACAACATACACATTACAGTCAACTTTAATGACTGATCTGTCAACAACATTCAAACAGCTTGTAATGTTTCAAACAGCACTCTGATAATCGTTATTACAATTGGACTTCTTATTGTGTCCACAGTAATTAGAGTCAAAGGTAACTGCTGTGTATTACATCAATCGTGCAAACACAAAGGTAACTGATGTGTAATACATCAATCGTGCAAACACAAAGGTAACTGCTGTGTATTACATCAATCGTGCGAACACAAAGGTAACTGCTGTGTATTACATCAATCGTGCGAACACAAAGGTAACTGCTGTGTATTACATCAATCGTGCAAACACTCCAAGTTGTAGCAATAAAATAAGTAGTCAAAAATGCTGCAGTGGGTCACCGGGCAAAGACAGAAAGCCGAGTATGTCAGTCTCAGTCTTACTAGAACACAATAACAGCAATGGAATGGACATTACATCTAGAATGATTTCATCAGCAAGCAGTACTAAAAGACATACATTCAGCTGCATGAAACAACTACAACATGCTACCACACACACACACACACAAAGAGACAAAAAAACCCAGGTCTTGTTTCTCAAAAACTCTCATGTGCTTTCTCCAGTGAGTAAAGTTAGAACGACTGTTATTGAACAACCAGTTTTATGAATAACTGACTGTTGATTAACTAGAATCAACATAGTGACACTCAGGTCACACCCATATGTGCTCTGTCTCTCTCTTTCTATGGTGGAGTGTAAACATGCTGAATAATTCTGTAAATAAATGATGACAAATGCATCCACATTATCACCACCTGTGCTCAAGTCTGCTACTCCCACAAATCACCAAATACTAAAAGTCTTATCTGAGTTGATTGTAACTTCTCTCACAGATAATATGTTTTTGATGTTTTGAATCCTTGTCCATCTTTATTTCACAGGTGCCAGAAAACCTTGTCCATCTTTATTTCACAGGTGCCAGAAAACCTTGTCCATCTTTATTTCACAGGTGCTAGAAAACCGTGTCCATCTTTATTTCACAGGTGCCAGAAAACCGTGTCCATCTTTATTTCACAGGTGCCAGAAAACCTTGTCCATCTTTATTTCACAGGTGCTAGAAAACCTTGTCCATCTTTATTTCACAGGTGCTAGAAAACCGTGTCCATCTTTATTTCACAGGTGCCAGAAAACCTTGTCCATCTTTATTTCACAGGTGCCAGAAAAGCGTGTCCATCTTTATTTCACAGGTGCCAGAAAAGCTTGTCCATCTTTATTTCAGAGGTGCCAGAAAACCAGCTCAGTCAGTTCCCCAGACTGGCAAATTATTTGGGCAACAGAACCAGCTCAGTCAGTTCCCCAGACTGGCAAATGATTTGGGCAACAGAACCAGCTCAGTCAGTTCCCCAGACTGGCAAATTATTTGGGCAACAGAACCAGCTCAGTCAGTTCCCCAGACTGGCAAATGATTTGGGCAACAGAACCAGCTCAGTCAGTTCCCCAGACTGGCAAATTATTTGGGCAACAGAACCAGCTCAGTCAGTTCCCCAGACTGGCAAATTATTTGGGCAACAGAACCAGCACAGTCAGTTCCCCAGACTGGCAAATGATTTGGGCAACAAAACCAGCTCAGTCAGTTCCCCAGACTGGCAAATTATTTGGGCAACAGAACCAGCACAGTCAGTTCCCCAGACTGGCAAATTATTTGGGCAACAGAACCAGCACATTTTTGTTTAGAAGGAACACAGAGTAAATACTTTTTAGACGGAACAAATGTCAGAAATTATACAATCAGCAGACGCTGATAGTCAGGTGATGTGGAAATGTTAATTATAATGAAGTCAATGACACGCAGACAAGACAAACAGACAACAAGACACACAGACAATAAGACACACTGACAACCAGAAACACAGAAAGACACACAGACAAGACACACAGACAACAAGACATACAGACAACATGACACACCGACAACATGACAGACAACAAGAACTTAGCAAGTTCAGAGAAGTCATGAGTTGGATGAACAGTTTCAGCAGTAAAGTCTCACATGTACATAAGGTTCCTTTTGTTGTCCATGTTCATCTTGTTGAAAATAACAGTTAAAATAATGCAGCAGATGTAACAGGAAATCGTCAAATCTTTCCTTTCTGAAATAGAAAACACCATATTAGGCAGGCACATATTGCAAATAACACATTATCCCTGGACAAGACCTCAACATTAGGACAGGCAAGGCAGCAACAACAATGAACAGATTAACAAATAAGTTTGGTCAGCTGTGCAGAATGAGGGCTGGCATTGTCCTGTTGAAAAAGATATCTGTTGGCATCCCAAAATGGAAGGACATGTGGTTGAAGAATTTCATGGATGTATCGTTGCGCATTCAAGCTTCCTTCAATGTGCACCAGGTGACTCCTTCCATTGTAACTGATCATTCCCCATACCATTACACCTCCACCGCCGTGCAGCAGAGCTTCATCAACACAATTTAGGGCTAAACCTTCATTTTGTCTACAGTAGACCCTACACCGTCTATTACGACGCTGCAACAAAAAGAAAGATGCATCACTGAGCCAGACACATCTCCGCTCAGGGACAATGTTGGTTGGTCCAAAGAAGTCAATTTTGGCAGTGGCAGCATGTAAGGAAAGGTCCTCAGTGTGGTCGTCGAGCCCAAAGTCCAACATCAGGCAATCTGTTCCAAACAGTTTGATCAGACACATGACGTCCTGGAGGCAATGCCTGTACAGTTGAGGAAGCTGTTGTAAACCTGTCTCTGAGGTGACAAAGCCGAATAAAGCAATTTTCTCCTGCTGTTGTCACACTGGGTCATCCACTGCGATGTCAGTCTTCAACTGAACCAGTGGCTTGGAACCGGTGCAGAAGTTGACTAATGGTACTGTGATGCACATTTAGATGCCTGGAAACCTGACTTTGACTTTCTCCTGCCAGCAATCGGTCAAAAGCAGTATTCCTTAAATCTATTGATAGAGGCGCCATTCATGACTGCTTGAAAATAAACTGAATGTTTTGGTGTAGCGTTATACTTTTATGGGGGTTCAGTCGCGTAGGCAGTGAATAGTGTTCATCCCAAATTGTGCTTCTTTCTCATGTGCGCATCATGAGCTATGCTCACCAATTTGGTCTAAAACACAAATTGACTACTTAGTTGTAACGATTACAAAAACCCATGTAATTCACGCCCACATGTCCACTGGACACGGCAAACAACATTTGAGTCTGCTTTTCACATACCTGAGTGCAATATTCTATTTAAAAACTAATAAAAAGGCTTTATTGGATAACTATGTGTTTCTTTTTTTTTTGAACAGTATAGATAAACTTGGTCAGTTTGCTTGCACCAGGAGAAACAAGAAAATAGCATTCACATGTGATGTCTGTAAAGAATACCTGGCATTAAGTAGCAAGACCAGGTCTCAAAAACCGAGGTACTGTTTTAACTTTGTTTGACTGATGGCATCTCTGATGTTGATGACATGACTATTTAGAGTTTTCTCATGTTATCAACTAATTTGTGATTCTTTCCCTCCTTACACAGAATGCTTGGAGGCATTCTTAAAACTGATTGTGCTCCCAAGATAGGCCTGCCTCAGCACCAGAAATGTGCTGGGAAGTAATGATGACTGCTGGGATACTGTCCGTGCTGGTCTTTAAGTGCCAGTTTGTCTGGCATCTGATGCAGCTACCACCATATGCCCGATGTGACTTGAGGCGTAGAAATGGGTCTTTTATTGACAGTTTACTGCAGGCTGCTTGACAAACCAGATGTCAGTTTCTCATAAAATTGTTTATCTCTGTTAAACGTTTAAACACACACACTCTCTCTCCCCCCATATATTTATATATATATATACACACACACTTACACACACACACACACACATACACACATCAATAGTATCTAAACTACACATTGCAGACAACTAGAGTATACAATACAGCGTACCTGTACAACATCTCAAAGTGAATCGGAATGTTGTGATGTTCTGACAGGGTTTCCAGGGCAACATCTGTAAAATCAAAAGAACAGACAATGTTTGGAGGCAGTTAGCCATTACAGACATCATTAGTTCAATACCAGAAACAGTCACAGTCATACGGTCTCTGTGACGTTTAGCAACTGGCAATGTCAAATATGACAAGCCCACATTTGACCACAAACAGTCACAGACATTCTGTCTCTGTGACATTCAGCAACTGGCAATGTCAGATATGACAAGCCCACATTTGACCACAAACAGTTACAGACATACCATCTCTATGGCAGTCAATAGCTCATGTCAGAAATGACTACTAGACCTGACTTACAAGACCTGACTTACCAGACCTCACTTACAAGACTTGACTTACAAGACCTGACTTACCAGACCTGACTTACAAGATCTGACTTACAAGACCTGACTTACCACACCTGACTTACAAGACTTGACTTACAAGACCTGACTTACAGGACCTGACTTACAAGACCTGACTTACCAGACCTGACTTACAAGACTTGACTTACCAGACCTGACTTACAAGACCTGACGTACAAGACCTGACTTACAAGACCTGACTTACCACCCCTGACTTACAAGACTTGACTTACAAGACCTGACTTACAACACCTGCCTTACAAGACTTGACTTACAAGACCTGACTTACCACACCTGACTTACAAGACTTGACTTACAAGACCTGACTTACCAGACTTGACCTCCCAGATCACATACAGAGGAACATCAAATGATTAAATCCTGAACCCTAACACAGTAACAGAGGCCTCACATACAGTGTAACAGAGACCTCACATGCAGTGTAACAGAGACCTCACATACAGTGTAACAGAGACCTCACATGTAGTGTAACAGAGACCTCACATACAGTGTAACAGAGACCTCCCATACAGTGTAACAGAGGCCTCACATAAAGTGTAACAGAGACCTCACATACAGTGTAACAGAGACCTCACATACAGTGTAACGGAGACCTCACATACAGTGTAACTGAGACCTCACATACAGTGTAACAGAGACCTCACATACAGTGTTACAGAGACCTCACATACAGTGTAACAGAGACCTCACATACAGTGTAACAGAGACCTCACATACAGTGTTACAGAGACCTCACATACAGTGTAACAGAGACCTCACACACAGTGCAACAGAGACCTCACATACAGTGTAACAGAGACCTCACATACAGTGTAACAGAGACCTCACACACAGTGTAACAGAGACCTCACATACAGTGTAACAGAGACCTCACATACAGTGTAACAGAGACCTCACATACAGTGTAACAGAGACCTCACATGTAGTGTAACAGAGACCTCACATGCAGTGTAACAGAGACCTCACATGTAGTGTAACAGAGACCTCACATACAGTGTAACAGAGACCTCACATACAGTGTAACAGAGTACTCACATGTAGTGTAACAGAGACCTCACATACAGTGTAACAGAGACCTCACATACAGTGTAACAGAGACCTCACATACAGTGTAACATAGGCCTCACATACAGTGTAACAGAGACCTCACATACAGTGTAACATAGACCTCACATACAGTGTAACAGAGACCTCACATACAGTGTAACAGAGACCTCACATACAGTGTAACAGAGACCTCACATGCAGTGTAACAGAGACCTCACATACAGTGTAACAGAGACCTCACATACAGTGTAACATAGGCCTCACATACAGTGTAACAGAGACCTCACATACAGTGTAACAGAGGCCTCACATACAGTGTAACAGAGGCCTCACATACAGTGTAACAGAGACCTCACATACAGTGTAACAGAGGCCTCACATACAGTGTAACAGAGGCCTCACATACAGTGTAACAGAGACCTCACATACAGTGTAACAGAGACCTCACATACAGTGTAACAGAGACCTCACATACAGTGTAACAGAGACCTCACATACAGTGTAACAGAGACCTCACATACAGTGTAACAGAGACCTCATATACAGTGTAACAGAGACCTCATATACAGTGTAACAGAGACCTCACATACAGTGTAACAGAGACCTCACATACAGTGTAACAAAGACCTCACATACAGTGTAACAAAGACCTCACATACAGTGTAACAGAGACCTCACATACAGTGTAACAGAGACCTCACATGTAGTGTAACAGAGACCTCACATACAGTGTAACAGAGACCTCACATACAGTGTAACAGAGACCTCACATACAGTGTAACAGAGACCTCACATGCAGTGTAACAGAGACCTCACATGTAGTGTAACAGAGACCTCACATACAGTGTAACAGAGACCTCACATACAGTGTAACAGAGACCTCACATACAGTGTAACAGAGGCCTCACATGTAGTGTAACAGAGGCCTCACATACAGTGTAACAGAGGCCTTACATACAGTGTAACAGAGGCCTCACATGTAGTGTAACAGAGGCCTCACATGTAGTGTAACAGAGACCTCACATGTAGTGTAACAGAGACCTCACATGTAGTGTAACAGAGACCTCACATGTAGTGTAACAGAGGCCTCACATGTAGTGTAACAGAGGCCTCACATGTAGTGTAACAGAGACCTCACATGTAGTGTAACAGAGACCTCACATGTAGTGTAACAGAGATCTCACATGTAGTGTAACAGAGACCTCACATGTAGTGTAACAGAGACCTCACATGTAGTGTAACAGAGACCTCACATTCAGTGTAACAGAGACCTCACATGTAGTGTAACAGAGACCTCACATACAGTGTAACAGAGGCCTCACATGTAGTGTAACAGAGGCCTCACATACAGTGTAACAGAGGCCTCACATACAGTGTAACAGAGGCCTCACATGTAGTGTAACAGAGGCCTCACATGTAGTGTAACAGAGACCTCACATGTAGTGTAACAGAGGCCTCACATGTAGTGTAACAGAGGCCTCACATGTAGTGTAACAGAGGCCTCACATGTAGTGTAACAGAGACCTCACATGTAGTGTAACAGAGACCTCACATGTAGTGTAACAGAGACCTCACATGTAGTGTAACAGAGACCTCACATGTAGTGTAACAGAGACCTCACATGTAGTGTAACAGAGACCTCACATGTAGTGTAACAGAGACCTCACATACAGTGTAACAGAGACCTCACATACAGTGTAACAGAGACCTCACATGTAGTGTAACAGAGACCTCACATGTAGTGTAACAGAGACCTCACATGTAGTGTAACAGAGACCTTACATGTAGTGTAACAGAGACCTCACATACAGTGTAACAGAGACCTCACATGTAGTGTAACAGAGACCTCACATGTAGTGTAACAGAGACCTCACATGTAGTGTAACAGAGACCTTACATGTAGTGTAACAGAGACCTCACATGTAGTGTAACAGAGACCTCACATACAGTGTAACAGAGACCTCACATACAGTGTAACAGAGACCTCACATGTAGTGTAACAGAGACCTTACATGTAGTGTAACAGAGACCTCACATGTAGTGTAACAGAGGCCTCACATGCAGTGTAACAGAGACCTCACATACAGTGTAACAGACCTCACATACAGTGTAACAGAGGCCTCACATACAGTGTAACAGAGACCTCACATGTAGTGTAACAGAGACCTCACATGTAGTGTAACAGAGACCTCACATGTAGTGTAACAGAGACCTCACATACAGTGTAACAGAGGCCTCACATACAGTGTAACAGAGACCTCACATGCAGTTTAACAGAGGATTCACATGTAGTGTAACAGAGACCTCACATACAGTGTAACAGAGGCCTCACATACAGTGTAACAGAGACCTCACATGCAGTGTAACAGAGGCCTCACATTTAGTGTAACAGAGACCTCACATACAGTGTAACAGAGACCTCACATACAGTGTAACAGAGACCTCACATACAGTGTAACAGAGACCTCTCATACAGTGTAACAGAGACCTCACATACAGTGTAACAGAGACCTCACATTCAGTGTAACAGAGACCTCACATACAGTGTAACAGAGACCTCTCATACAGTGTAACAGAGACCTCACATTCAGCGTAACAGACCTCACATACAGTGTAACAGAGGCCTCACATACAGTGTAACAGAGACCTCACATACAGTGTAACAGAGGCCTCATATACAGTGTAACAGAGGCCTCATATACAGTGTAACAGAGGCCTCATATACAGTGTAACAGAGGATTCACATGTAGTGTAACAGAGACCTCACATACAGTGTAACAGAGACCTCACATACAGTGTAACAGAGGCCTCACATACAGTGTAACAGAGACCTCACATACAGTGTAACAGAGGCCTCACATACAGTGTAACAGAGACCTCACATGTAGTGTAACAGAGGCCTCACATTTAGTGTAACAGAGACCTCACATTCAGTGTAACAGAGACCTCACATGTAGTGTAACAGAGGCCTCACATTCAGTGTAACAGAGACCTCACATGCAGTGTAACAGAGGCCTCATATACAGTGTAACAGAGACCTCACATGCAGTGTAACAGAGGCCTCACATACAGTGTAACAGAGGCCTCACATACAGTGTAACAGAGACCTCACATGCAGTGTAACAGAGGATTCACATGTAGTGTAACAGAGACCTCACATACAGTGTAACAGAGGCCTCACATACAGTGTAACAGAGACCTCACATGCAGTGTAACAGAGGCCTCACATTTAGTGTAACAGAGACCTCACATACAGTGTAACAGAGACCTCACATACAGTGTAACAGAGACCTCACATACAGTGTAACAGAGACCTCTCATACAGTGTAACAGAGACCTCACATACAGTGTAACAGAGACCTCACATTCAGTGTAACAGAGACCTCACATACAGTGTAACAGAGACCTCTCATACAGTGTAAACAGAGACCTCACATTCAGCGTAACAGACCTCACATACAGTGTAACAGAGGCCTCACATACAGTGTAACAGAGACCTCACATACAGTGTAACAGAGGCCTCATATACAGTGTAACAGAGGCCTCATATACAGTGTAACAGAGGCCTCATATACAGTGTAACAGAGGATTCACATGTAGTGTAACAGAGACCTCACATACAGTGTAACAGAGACCTCACATACAGTGTAACAGAGGCCTCACATACAGTGTAACAGAGACCTCACATACAGTGTAACAGAGGCCTCACATACAGTGTAACAGAGACCTCACATGTAGTGTAACAGAGGCCTCACATTTAGTGTAACAGAGACCTCACATTCAGTGTAACAGAGACCTCACATGTAGTGTAACAGAGGCCTCACATTCAGTGTAACAGAGACCTCACATGCAGTGTAACAGAGGCCTCATATACAGTGTAACAGACACCTCACATGCAGTGTAACAGAGGCCTCATATACAGTGTAACAGAGACCTCACATTCAGTGTAACAGAGACCTCATATACAGTGTAACAGAGGCCTCACATTCAGTGTAACAGAGACCTCACATGCAGTGTAACAGAGGCCTCACATACAGTGTAACAGAGGCCTCACATGCAGTGTAACAGAGGCCTCATATACAGTGTAACAGAGACCTCACATGCAGTGTAACAGAGGCCTCATATACAGTGTAACAGAGACCTCACATGCAGTGTAACAGAGGCCTCAAATACAGTGTAACAGAGGCCTCATATGCAGTGTAACAGAGGCCTCATATACAGTGTAACAGAGGCCTCATATACAGTGTAACAGAGGCCTCATATACAGTGTAACAGAGGCCTCATATACAGTGTAACAGAGGATTCACATGTAGTGTAACAGAGACCTCACATACAGTGTAACAGAGGCCTCACATACAGTGTAACAGAGACCTCACATGCAGTGTAACAGAGGCCTCACATTTAGTGTAACAGAGACCTCACATACAGTGTAACAGAGACCTCACATACAGTGTAACAGAGACCTCACATACAGTGTAACAGAGACCTCTCATACAGTGTAACAGAGACCTCACATACAGTGTAACAGAGACCTCACATTCAGTGTAACAGAGACCTCACATACAGTGTAACAGAGACCTCTCATACAGTGTAACAGAGACCTCACATTCAGTGTAACAGACCTCACATACAGTGTAACAGAGGCCTCACATACAGTGTAACAGAGACCTCACATACAGTGTAACAGAGACCTCACATTCAGTGTAACAGAGACCTCACATGCAGTGTAACAGAGACCTCACATACAGTGTAACAGAGACCTCACATACAGTGTAACAGAGACCTCACATACAGTGTAACAGAGACCTCACATACAGTGTAACAGAGGCCTCACATACAGTGTAACAGAGACCTCACATACAGTGTAACAGAGGCCTCACATACAGTGTAACAGAGACCTCACATGTAGTGTAACAGAGGCCTCACATTTAGTGTAACAGAGACCTCACATTCAGTGTAACAGAGACCTCACATGTAGTGTAACAGAGGCCTCACATTCAGTGTAACAGAGACCTCACATGCAGTGTAACAGAGGCCTCATATACAGTGTAACAGAGACCTCACATGCAGTGTAACAGAGGCCTCATATACAGTGTAACAGAGACCTCACATTCAGTGTAACAGAGACCTTATATACAGTGTAACAGAGGCCTCACATTCAGTGTAACAGAGACCTCACATGCAGTGTAACAGAGGCCTCACATACAGTGTAACAGAGGCCTCACATGCAGTGTAACAGAGGCCTCATATACAGTGTAACAGAGACCTCACATGCAGTGTAACAGAGGCCTCATATACAGTGTAACAGAGACCTCACATGCAGTGTAACAGAGGCCTCATATACAGTGTAACAGAGGCCTCATATGCAGTGTAACAGAGGCCTCATATACAGTGTAACAGAGGCCTCATATACAGTGTAACAGAGGCCTCATATACAGTGTAACAGAGGCCTCACATGTAGTGTAACAGAGGCCTCACATACAGTGTAACAGAGACCTCACATACAGTGTAACAGAGACCTCACATACAGTGTAACAGAGACCTCATATACAGTGTAACAGAGACCTCACATACAGTGTTACAGAGGCCTCACATGTAGTGTAACAGAGGCCTCACATACAGTGTAACAGAGACCTCACATACAGTGTTACAGAGACCTCACATACAGTGTAACAGAGACCTCACATACAGTGTTACAGAGACCTCACATGTAGTGTAACAGAGACCTGACATACAGTGTTACAGAGGCCTCACATGCAGTGTAAGAGGCTCACAGTTAAGAGACACAATAAGTGTGAAGTTCTGCATGATCTGCCATAGAACATTGTCCTCACTTTTGATGTCGCTGAGTGTGACTGTGGTGTGGTCAGTCTGCTCCCTGCTGCCAAGTGAGAATGCCTGGAGCTTGGGTCCTGCTGTTGCAGCTCTGCCTGCCAGCACTCCTGCTCTGGGAACACCAGCGGATGTCCTACAGACAATAACAACAGTTGATGACAAGATTGGTGTGAGGGCATCATGGGCAGCACACAGTATCAGGTGGTGTGAGGATATCATGGGCAGCACACAGTATCAGGTGGTGTGAGGATATCATGGGCAGCATACAGTATCAGGTGGTGTGAGGATATCATGGGCAGCACACAGTATCAGGTGGTGTGAGGAGATCATGGGCAGCACACAGTATCAGGTGGTGTGAGGATATCATAAGGAGCATACAGTATCAGGTGGTGTGAGGAGATCATGGGCAGCACACAGTATCAGGTGGTGTGAGGATATCATGGGCAGCACACAGTATCAGGTGGTGTGAGGATATCATGGGCAGCACACAGTATCAGGTGGTGTGAGGAGATCATGGGCAGCACACAGTATCAGGTGGTGTGAGGATATCATGGGCAGCACACAGTATCAGGTGGTGTGAGGAGATCATGGGCAGCATACAGTATCAGGTGGTGTGAGGATATCATGGGCAGCACACAGTATCAGGTGGTGTGAGGAGATCATGGGCAGCACACAGTATCAGGTGGTGTGAGGATATCATAAGGAGCATACAGTATCAGGTGGTGTGAGGATATCATAAGGAGCATACAGTATCAGGTGGTGTGAGAGAATCATGGGCAGCACACAGTATCAGGTGGTGTGAGAGAATCATGGGGGGCACACAGTATCAGGTGGTGTGAGGGTATCATGGGCAGCACACAGTATCAGGTGGTGTGAGGGTATCATGGGCAGCACACAGTATCAGGTGGTGTGAGAGTATCATGGGCAGCACACAGTATCAGGTGGTGTGAGGGTATCATGGGCAGCATACAGTATCAGGTGGTGTGAGGGTATCATGGGCAGCACACAGTATCAGGTGGTGTGAGGGTATCATGGGCAGCACACAGTATCAGGTGGTGTGAGGGTATCATGGGCAGCACACAGTATCAGGTGGTGTGAGGGTATCATGGGGAGCACACAGTATCAGGTGGTGTGAGGGTATCATGGGCAGCACACAGTATCAGGTGGTGTGAGGGTATCATGGGCAGCACACAGTATCAGGTGGTGTGAGGGTATCATGGGGAGCACACAGTATCAGGTGGTGTGAGGGTATCATGGGCAGCACACAGTATCAGGTGGTGTGAGGGAATCATGGGGAGCATACAGTATCAGGTGGTGTGAGGGTATCATGGGCAGCATACAGTATCAGGTGGTGTGAGGGAATCATGGGCAGCATACAGTATCAGGTGGTGTGAGGGATTCATGGGCAGCACACAGTATCAGGTGGTGTGAGGGTATCATGGGCAGCATACATTATCAGGTGGTGTGAGGGTATCATGGGCAGCACACAGTATCAGGTGGTGTGAGAGAATCATGGGCAGCATACAGTATCAGGTGGTGTGAGGGTATCATGGGCAGCACACAGTATCAGGTGGTGTGAGAGAATCATGGGCAGCACACAGTATCAGGTGGTGTGAGAGAATCATGGGCAGCATACAGTATCAGGTGGTGTGAGAGAATCATGGGCAGCATACAGTATCAGGTGGTGTGAGGGTATCATGGGCAGCATACAGTATCAGGTGGTGTGAGGATATCATGGGCAGCATACAGTATCAGGTGGTGTGAGGGTATCATGGGCAGCACACAGTATCAGGACTACTGCAGGCTGTGTTATCAGCAAACATTGACATTAAAAACGTTTGAGAATGTGCTATCAGCAAACAAACAATGACATTAAAAACGTTTGAGAATGTGCTATCAGCAATCAGTAACTTTCATAACTATTTTAATGTGCCTTAGGAGCAGCCGTTAACATTCACAGTTATTTGAGCTAATAGCTATAGGTAAAAAATAAAATCGTCTCTGACCTCTCCAGATGACCTTTGACATCACTAGGCTTGGCTTTTTTTCTCCTGTCTTGTTTATCCAAAGTTGGGTTATTGCTGGAGATGTATTCAAGCAAATATTACATGACAGTGTGCCTGCACCTGACAAACATTGCTAACATCTAAATGACAGTGTGTGTGCACCTGACAAACATAGCTAACATCTAAATGACAGTGTGTGTGTGCACCTGATAGATATTGCTAACATCTAAATGACAGTGTGTGGGCACCTGACAAACATTACTAACATCTAAATGACAGTGTGGGTGTACCTGACAAACATTGCTAACATCTAAATGACAGTGTGTGTGCACCTGACAAACATTGCTAACATCTAAATGACAGTGTGGGTGTACCTGACAAACATTGCTAACATCTAAATGACAGTGTGGGTTTTGTTTGTAGTCTTCCTCTTGTTGGATGCTTGTGTAAGAAAACTTGTGTCAGTGAGTACCATACAGCTTTGCCTTCACTGGGGTTGGAAGCAGCCAGATTGGCAGGTCTGTTGTCCACCGTGCGAGTGTTTAAGGCTCAGGTTAGAGGGAGATTTGTGAAGCAAGATTCTGGTGTTGCTGCCTTGACCACAAGTCTGACTATGGAGATCTTGACAGTGACCGAAGCAATAACATGGCTGGAGACTCAGTAAGTATGCTCAGGTATTTAGACAAGGGTTGGGTCCGAAGACGGTGGTTGGAGTCCCTCAGTTTTATTTCCGTGCCAGGGCATGCAGGTGTACAAGGACATAAGCAAGCTGATAGGCTTGCAGATGAAGCCGACGTGCCACTGACCATGCTGAAATTCTGAATGATCTATGAGAAGTAAGATGTTTGCGAGAGCCAAGTGATGACTGTTAATCTGCAACCATGACCAGACTGCAACAACAAGTTACAATGGGTGTGGGAGACAAGAAAGCACTATGCAGAAAACAAAGAAGAATAAGAAACAAACACAGACCTGGTGTCATGAGCCGCTACATGCTGAGTAGGGGATCTGGGCACTTATGGACTGAATGGTTCGAAGTGAGGATAGTCTGTCAACTATGTTTGTTTTTTCTCTCAGATCTTTACAAAAATGCTAACAATTTCTTCATGTTTCACTTGATGAAATATTTTGGTGTAGTTAACAAAGCTCAAATTCTACATCAAGACCTCTGTTCATTTCAATCATTTGTTCTGAAAGGGTTCTCAAGATAAACATGGCGTTGCTTGTGCCTTTACCTTCAACAAAACCTAACTGCTTTTCTCCAAAATCTGGTTTAATTTCGCACTCTATCATTCTCATGAAATTTTAGTTATAGGACTCAAACAAAATGTCCCATGTTCTTCACAGCCCAGTGCAACGTGTGTTTTTGAGGTAAAAGGTATGAAAATTAATTTCAAAAGATCATCAGGTATTATGTCTATATCCACAGTTATCAATATCAGTAAACACTTAAAGCCCAGCAGATTAAAGTAAATAATTATGTTACTTCCCTATCATTAAACCTCGCTTAAAACCTCGCAATTTCTTTCTCTCAAAATAAAATATTAGGATTTAAAACATTACAAATTTATTATTGTAAAATGAACTGATAATCTAGATTGTGTAATTAAAAAAAATCATGTTAAAAAAAAAATTCACGAGGTTCTGGCGAGGTTCGAACTCGCGACATTCTGCGTGTAAAGCAGACGTGATAACCACTACACCACAGAACCTGCTGGTTACTTAGCCGCTTGTAAAGTATATAATGGAATACCTGACAAACTCCAGGCAAGGGTTGAACGAGTCTTCTCTCCAGGTCCATCTGCCAGACATCGGCACCTGCAAGCATCATCATCATGAGTCAGGTCACACGTAGCAAGCGTCTCAGCTCGGCGCCCTTCTTTCACGCATAGTGCACATCGCATCCCGCCCTCCCTTTCTCTTGTGTTCCGGGACCAGGGGCGGCGACACGAAGTTTACCCCTTATTGACTGGAGGTGCGGGGAGGCTTAGGGTACCCAAACCTACTAAGCGCCCCTCTCCCAGATGCCAGAGCCCCTCACAAGGGGCGCTGGCCCCAGTACTGGTCTATAGTAGACTTATTTGACAGATCGTCAGAACTACTGGGTGGAAACAGTTGGTTGTGTGTGGTACAATGCGTCTGTCAGCTGGTAGTTGGAGGTGTTATCCCTGGTAAGCCAGCCGTCTGTCAGTGTCTGGTTCAACTGTAACCCAGCACATTTCTCTGTTCACTGTTATTTCTCTTACAACCAAAATAGTCAATTTTGAAATTGTCACCAATTAAAAAATGGCAGGCTTTCTTCCCCACACGATTGTTATTTTAATTCACTATATTTAATAGTACTATGTTATTAATACGCAATATAACAAGATTTTTACCTTTTAAGGTTTCCTTGAAAATGTGTATGTTCGATGTTGGTCCCGCCCTCGCGACAAACTTTGATGCCTGCGCATTTAGGTCCCGGAAACGCTTCATTAAGTCGCTTTTTACGACATGCTTGTTAAAGATCAAGGGATCTCTTCTCCTCGCCCATGGCACCTGAGAGAAAATGTCATTCCGCCATCAAAGACAATGTCTCTATATCGACCCCCCGACCCACCCCGTTGGGTGACAGTCCCGAAACCCATTGCTTGTGATTAGGTCGTATTTCACAGAAGGAGGGGGAAGGTAGGGGGGGGGGGGGCAAACTATCAAATACAGAAGTTCTCAAGAGATTAGCAAAGAAAAGAGAGTTACATGAATAAATATAAATGGGTGACAACATCAAGAGATGGACGAACACCCCTCTGAGCGAGCCTACAACCAGGTCAAGAGACATATGCTGGAAATGCATCACAGCCAACCTTCACTGCGGAGACGGCAACTGATTCAAATAAGAAAACGCTCAACACAGTGTTGGCTGAAAGTTATTTGTAGAACCATTGCAACGGAACAGGGCTTGAGTCTCATTACCCGGGACCACAGTCCGTGCAAAGTTGGTGAATTGTAGGGCCACTTCTGGAGCACTTAGAGGGGTGGTCTTTATATTATAGAGTGGAGCGCGCGCGCGCGCGCGCGAGAGAGAGAGAGAGAGAGAGAGAGAGAGAGAGAGAGAGAAACAGAGAGACGGGCAGACAGACAGAGACAGAGAGAGAGAGAGAGAGAGAGAGAGAGAGAGAGAGAGAGAGAGAGAGAGAGGAAAGTCTACACAAGTATGAATGTTTGTAAGGTATATGTGCCAGGGTAGAATAGGATAGACCCTTGTCTTTAACATATCAGAAAAGAAGTGACAGTTTATCTTTACATTTATAGTCCGTTTAGAATTTGCTGTTTATTCACTGTTGTGTTTTTATATTTGGAAAAACAAAATGACATCACAAGATGGATAGACATATGGGAGATCAGAGGCTGTGAACACCAGCATCCAGGGAGATCAGAGGCCGTGAACACCAGCATCCAGGGAGATCAGAGGCCCTAAACACCAGCATCCAGGTAGATCAAAGGCTGTGAATACCAGCATCCAGGTAGATCAAAGGCCACGAATACCAGCATCCAGGGAGATCAAAGGCCGTGAACACCAGCATCCAGGGAGATCAGAGGCCCTAAACACCAGCATCCAGGTAGATCAAAGGCCCTGAACACCAGCATCCAGGGAGATCAAAGGCCCTGAATACAAGCATCCAGGGAGATCAGAGGCCCTAAACACCAGCATCCAGGGAGATCGAAGGCTGTGAATACCAGCATCCAGGTTGATCAAGGGCCATGAACACCAGCATCCAGGGAGATCAAAGGCCCTGAATACCAGCATCCAGGGAGATCAGAGGCTGTGAACACCAGATTCCAGGGAGATCAAAGGCAGTGAACACCAGCATCCAAGGGAGATCAAAGGCCCTAAAAACCAGCATTCAGGGAGATCAAAGGCAGTGAACACCAGCATCCAGGGAGATCAAAGGCCCTAAACACCAGCATCCAGGGAGAGCAAAGGCAGTCACCAGCATCCAGGGAGATCAGAGGCCCTAAACACCCGCATCCAGAGAGATCAAAGGCCCTGAACACCAGCATCCAGGGAGATCAAAGGCCCTGAAACACAGCATCCAGTGAGATCAAAGGCCCTGAACACCTGCATCCAAGGAGATCAAAGGCCTGAACCCCGCGCATCCAGGGAGATAAGAGCCCCTAAAAACCAGCATACAGGGAGATCAGAGGCCGTGAACACCAGCACCCAGGAGATCAGAGGCCCTGAACACCCGCATCCAGGGAGATCAGAGGCCGTGAACACCAGCATCCAGGGAGATCAGAGGCCCTGAACACCCGCATCCAGGGAGATCAAAAGCCCTAAACACCAGCATCAAAAGGAGATCAAAGGCCCTGAACACCCGCATCCAGGGAGATCAAAGGCCCTGAACACCCGCATCCAGGAAGATCAAAGGCCCTGAACACCAGCATCCAGGGAGATCAGAGGCCCTAAACACCAGCATCCAGGGAGATCAGAGCCCCAAACACCAGCATCCAGGGAGATCAAAGGCCCTGAATACTATCATCCAGGGAGATCAGAGGCTGTGAACACCAGCATCCAGGGAGATCAAAGGCAGTGAACACCAGCATCCAGGGAGATCAAAGGCCCTAAACACAGCATCTAGGAAGATCAGAGGCCCTAAACACCAACATCCAAGGAGATCAGAGGCCCTAAACACCAGCATCCAAGGAGATCAGAGGTTGTAAACACCAGCATCCAGGGAGATCAGAGGCTGTAAAAACCCGCATCCAAGGAGATCAGAGGTGTGACCACCAGCATCCAAGGAGATCAGAGGTTGTAAACACCCGTATCCAAGGAGATCAGAGGTTGTAAACACCAGCATCCAGGGAGATCAGAGGCCCTAAACACCAGCATGCAGGGAGAACAGAGGCCGTGATACCAGCATCCAAGGAGATCAGAGGCTCTAAACACCAGCATCCAGGGAGATCAGAGGCCTAAAACACCAGCATCCAGGGAGATCAGAGGCCGTGAACACCAGCGTCCAGGAAGATCAGAGGCCATGAAACAAGCATCCAGGGAGATCAGAGGCCCTAAACACCAGCATCGAGGGAGATCAGAGGCCCTAAACACCAGCATTCAGGGAGATCAGAGGCCCTAAACACCAGCATCCAGGGAGATCAGAGGCCCTAAACACCAGCATCCAGTGAGATCAGAGGCCCTAAACACCAGCATCCAGGGAGATAAGAGATTGTGAACACCAGCATCCAGGGAGATCAGAGGCCGTGAACACCAGCATCCAGGGAGATCAGAGGCCGTGAACACCAGCATCCAGGGAGATCAGAGGCCGTGAACACCAGCATCCAGGAGATCAGAGGCCGTGAACACCAGCATCCAGGGAGATCAAAGACCCTGAACACCAGCATCCATGCTGCACGCGCCAAGGTTTGCACCGAATGCCATTTCAACACCTGGTGCTTAATGAACGTACAAGCCCTAGACAAAAATTTAAAAACAAAAAGTGGGAGCAGCAAATACACTCAAACATAGAAGAGGAGCTTCCGGCCAGGCAGGGCGATATCGGTGGTCAGTGTAAGTTCCGGTCAGCCAGTTGGTCACAGACAAGTGGTAGACGCCATCCCGGCCAGGCAGGGCGATATCAGTGTAAGTTCCGTTCAGCCAGTTGGTCACAGACAAGTGGTAGACGCCATCACAGCCAGGGAGCACATTCGCTCTCAGTTCTGTCAGTCACGTGACTCACTTGTTCATTAAGCTCCCAGATACCACACTGTGGGTAACTATCACGTGACTCACTCATTCATTAGGCCCCTTGGGGTCAAGGCTGTTTTGCTTATACTTAGCATTTCTTTGTAATTATGTTTCATGTTCCAGTGATGACACACATACATAAATACCCACGCACGACACAGTCACACAAATACTGGCATATATATATATTCATTCACAGGCACCCACACTGACCCTAAGTGCATCAATACGTTTTTGGCTCAATACTTGGCTGATGTTAGCTTCTCACATTTAATAGAATATGAAATACCGTCTTCCTTGTGTAATGAGCTTGACTGCAGTCATCTCTGTTTTCACAACTTATGGTAATCAGATTGACTGCAGTCACCCCTGTTTTCATCACTTGTGGCAATGAGCTTAACTGCAGTCACCCCTATTTTCACCATTTGTGGTAATCAGGTTAACTGCAGTCACCCCTGTTTTCATCACTTGTGGTAATGAGCTTAAATGCAGTCACCCCTGTTTTCATCATTTGTGTTAATGAGCTTAACTGCAGTCACCCCTGTTTTCATCACTTGTGGTAATGAGCTTAACTGCAGTCACCCCTGTTTTCACAACTTATGGTAATCAGATTGACTGCAGTCACCCCTGTTTTCACCACTTGTGGTAATAACTTGACTGCAGTCATCCCTGTTTTCACCACTTGTGGTAATCAGACTTACTCTGGGATAACACCGTCTTAGTAGTATTTGATATCTGCGGGTTACCTGTTAATAATTAATTTGGTCAGACCGGAAAATTAAGAAAAGCACAACATTTGAGACACATTAAAACTAATTGTTCTCAGAAATAATCAACAGAACAGCGGACTTGAAGGACTATAGATCAGTGAGTGTAGATCCTTATAGTCTAAATCTGTAACTATAAGCTGACACCAATCAAAGCAAGCACATGGACAGCGAGACAGACAGACAGACAGACAAGAGACAAGTCTTACCCCCTGGACTGAGGTGGCCATTTTATCCCGCCAGTTGTTGTCTGACCTGGGCTTCGATCTGTTGCTATTGGCAACAGGGAAACGTTACTCTGGGTTCTTCTACTTTCCGTCAGGCGTGGG